AACCCAACTCTCATGCCATTAGAAAGAGGATCATGAAAAACCTATAAAAAGATGGTTCATGAAATTTTAGTTCACTCATAAAGCTAAAGTCCGCTTGCTCTAGCAAAAAATGCCCACTGTGCGATACTTAAGGATACCCCTTCCTTCTTTTTGGGCTTTTATAACGTGGTAAAGAAAAGTCTAAAATAAAATTACAAAAAAATATCTCTGCAATAGTGTCTTAAGTACTTCTGGTAAAGTTTTTAACTCGACCCGTTGAAATTTAAGGAGAGTCGTAATATGGTCCAGTGAAACCCGGCAGAAAAAAAATAGTTTTCGAGAAAAAAATGCACATTTTGTACATAGGCCACTTTTTTCAGGGCATTTGCCGTGATACTTATATCTCCACGAAAACTCATCAGAGAATTCCGGAAAACGTCTCATTGTGAAGAAAAACACTTTCTTCTATCAGACTATGGGTATACAGAAAAGGAATTTATAAAAGGAGTTTATGAAACTAAAAACTTGAGTTTTTTTTAGGCTTTGAAGAAGAAACTTCAAAAATGTATAATTTTTTGAAGAAAGGTCCGGGGAGTGGTCTCATTTTGTAGTCCATACTTTTCTCTGCATTAGGCTATGCTCAGCTCAAAATCCGAAATTTTTTTGGAGGAGAGGGGAGCTACCCTTGACCAGAGTAGGTAAAAGATGCTGCCAATCTATTATTTTCTTTCCATTAAAAAATGACCTATTAATTGAAATAAATAAAATTTTATTTCAGTTCGATATGTCCGTACTATCGATTACTAATGGTCGTGTAAGACTTGTCCGAATTGATAAATCATTGTTTTCTGGCTCGATGAGTGATGTTGACGTTATCGTATGAACATTGCTAATTACTCTTAAATCTACTTTATCTCTTACTTGATTGCGATAAAAACGGGCATGTTTACAAACATATAACAGTAAAATATCGCATATAAATGTGGCTATACCAAACAAGGCGCATATACTTCCAACATTCAATGTTAATGTCATTAAATCAAATTTTCGTCCTGTACCCATAGACGATAAAATTAATCGTATACCATACGCTTTTTTTAATGTTCGATATTCTTTATAAGAATATATTTGACGTTTGGACGCATATCGAAAATTAAAACCAAGAGAAAATTCTTCATCTTTTAAATGTAAATCTAATCGTGCAAATGAATAAACGGGTAGACAACTAGATAAATAAACATTAAAATTTAGATTAATTCAAATAAGATGAATATGACACGTATATACAAGAGAATTACATACTGTTTTGATTTAAAATCAAAATTACAATCCCAATTAATTTCAATTAGAATAACACCACCGTATTTTAACATTAGTTTTCGTTCTTCTTCATTCCGTTCAACTATATTAATAATATCACCCAAGCGAAATACAGGACATTTTGTTTGATTGTATTGATTATAGGCTAGAAGTAGATAAATAGTAAAAAAGAAAAAAGAAAAAAAGAACTCATATAAAAGGAAATAACTTCTGTATGTCTGTTTAACTCATCATTAATGAAAATCTTCATCCTATAATTTAGTCATTGTTCCAAAATAGTGATTGATTAAAGATAAACTAAATTTTGTAGACTTTATTATTGGTTATCGAAATTTTTAGGTCGTATGTAGGCATGCAACAATCCGATAGTTCGATCACCGAACGGTTCCTAACCGAACATATTCGTTCACCGAACGTGTTCGACCTGAAAATTTGCTGCGATCGAACGTGTTCGGACGAAGATTACAAATACGATAGTTAATATTTTTCTTATATTAGCTTTGACACATTATTTCTTTTAAACCTTTGGTAGCGAATCGCTGGCTGACCGAACATGTTCGATAGCGATCCGATAGAACATACATTCGCTCACATTGTACACTAGTTAGTCTATTTTCTCACTGGTTAGTTCTTTCAAAAACTTCAATTTCATCCAATTTGTCTTTAGTTCGGACTAGGCATGCAACAATCCCAAGGTAGGGCTCGCTGATCTGCACCGAATGGTTTGTTTGCCGAACATATTTGGTAACAAACTATTCGGTG